CCGGATGTGGTAGAGCTTCTTAAAAGAGTACAACGAATCATGCATAGTAATGTTATATCCCCTAGATCTTCAGATGTAGTCTTTAAAAGGATTAACTTTACCATTCAAAAAGGCTTAGCGGTACAGCTTGTTGCCCGTTTGCCATCTCACTCATTGTACGATGACAATTAAAATATTGCAATTAAATTGATTTAAAAAAAAATCAATTTAGGACATATAGGAATTCTATTAACTTGATAATATTAATTTCTAACCACTAACCAACCGTTCTAAAAAAAAGAAAAGATTAAAATTATCAACCAAAATTCGGATAAAAAGTTAAACTTGCATTATAGAAAATTAAACCAATTACATTATGGAATCGTTGTCACTAATTCTGATAGATGAAGTTTTGACAGAGCCGGAAAAGATGAGAGGGATATATAGATATATGCCTAAACATCAATTGCATGCATGTTAGATTTTAGATGGAAAGGAAAAAGGAGACTTAGGGCGTATATGACAAACTAGTTGGTAGGTGGAATTTGGAAACCGGAGAAGTGAAGTTAGATATTGTAGTTTAGTTTTAAAATTACATAGACCCAAAAGCTAAAAAGCTCTTATTAGCAATTCGAAGTAGTTTTGGATTAAAACTTTTTTTTTAAATAAAAGCTAAAAACTTATATTATCGAACAATATTTATTTTTTTGATTTTTTTTCATAAAAACTAAAAGTTAAAATGGCTCAAGTATTTAACCAAAAATTTAAATAGAAATCTAATGGTACATGTAAAAGCATTGAGGTCCAGTACGTGTAGGACATAGTCAAACTGGAGATAATTTGATTAAAAAAGAATAAAAAAAAAAAAGACTATTATACCTTTAATGAATTTAATTTTTAAATCGTTTAAGTTTTAGTCCAAACTTTGATTTTTTTTTTGGATTCGTGGTCATTTTAAGCTAATTTACATGCAGTTTTGGTTCATGTTCAAACTAAAAAGACTATTATACACTTAATGAATTTAATTTTCATTTTTCTTTCACTTTTTAAAATTATTATTATTATTAAATATAAAACCGGTCCCACCTCTCTCTGTGTGTATGTGTGTGTGTGTGTCACCACATCCCAAAACGTATACCACCACCATCAACTTCTTCAATCTCATAACTCAATCTTTCTTCTTACCTCTTTATTTGTCCACCTCCTATATCTATATCACACACTTTTTTAATTCAAGAACTAGTATGTACATCTCTTCTCTGTGGAGAGTTAAGACCGCCATCTCTATTGAAATCAATCTCTCTTCTCCTCCACCTTCTTGTCATCGTTCTTTTGGGTTTGATTATTCAGAGGAAGGTTAAGAAATAAATGTACAACCCATTGAAGCACTTGGGATTTTGGTTTCCAAGTCTTGGTTTTTTTTTTTTTTTTTTGGTTTTGGTCTCGTAAATGCAACCTCCGATTGATAAACAAGAAATCAAGTTTGAGCTTTCATCTTCACCCCTGTTTTCCAAAATCCAAAATCCAGAATCACCTTCATTGACCCATCTCTTGTTTCCTTTCATCTTCACCCTTGTTTCACTCACTTCTTAGTTGCCCAGATCTGTAAGTACCCACATCCTTCTTCAATTGCAAACACAAAGAATCACAACTATAAGGAATCAAAATGCAAAGGGCTTACCATCCCCTTATTCTCTTTTGATCGAACTTCTTTTTTAGGGGAGGATAACGAATCGTCGTCGTAACCAAGACGATGGTGATGAATCTGCTGATGATGAACTTTTGATGAATCGATGCGTGGGGGCAGGATTCGGAACATGCTCTGTCGGTGGAGGCTGAAGTTGTGGCGGCGGTTGGGTTCAAGGGCTTCGGAAGCAGTCTGACGATGGTGGTCTAGAGTGGTTTAGGGTTTTTCTGCAAAAGAGTATTTTTTTTCTTGTTACGATCAAAGAAAAAAGAAGTATGTTCTTATCCTAGGAGAGAGAGAGAGAGAGAGAGAGAGAGAGAGAGAGAGAGAGAGAGAGAGAGAGAGAGATGTGAGCCCAAATTAGTTATTTATTTTCTTTTCCTTTAAATTAAATTGAAAAAATATAAAAAATATATCAGAAAGAGCATTTTAGTGTTTTCAGTTTCCGAGGACCAAAATCACAAGCAAACATGATCAAAAGGACCATCAATCTAAAAAAGTCGATGTTTGGACTAAAACCAAAAAAAAAACATATGAACATTTGCAATTTTGTCATAATAAAAAGATCAAGAGAAACTATTGACTACAAGTATGAGCAAAATAAAAACCTCAATAAATGATCAAGATGTCGCGTATTTGGAGCCATCTGGGGGAAGTTCCTTATACGTTTTAACCGCTAACACTTGCGCAGTTATAGAGATCATTAGAGACACACAGAGTCGATGGAGAAATCCGGTTATGGCAGCGACGGAATATTCCGTTCACTCCGGCAACCGCTAGTCAGCCCAGCAGACCCCAACACATCAATGATTCCCTTTCTCTTCCGCAACGTTTCATCTTACCCAAACAAACCTGCCCTATACGACGCCGACTCCGGTGACACCCTCAATTTCATCCAATTCAAAACCACCGTCGCCAAGTTCTCTCACGCCTTAAACAACCACCTGGGTATCACCAAGAACGACGTCGTTCTCATATTTGCCCCCAATTCAATCCAATACCCCATCTGCTCATACTCAATCATCGCTCTTGGCGCCATTGTCACCACCGTCAATCCTGAATATACCATCAGAGAGTTATCCAAACAAGTTGAAGACTCTAAACCCAAACTCATCATAACCGTTCAAAAACTGTACCAAAAAGTTGAAAACTTCGGACTCCCGGTTGTGTTTTTAGGATCAAAAAGTTCAAGAAACGGGTGTTTTTCATATAAAGACTTGATTTCAAAATATGGGTCAGTCTCAGAACTACCTAAAGTTTCGATTCGTGGAGATGATACTGCGGCCTTATTGTACTCTTCTGGGACAACCGGTGTTAGTAAGGGTGTAATTTTGAGCCACAAGAACTTCATCGCAACTTCACAAATGATGACTTCTGATCAAAGATCAATGGGGGAGAAAGATTATGTACACTTATGTTTCTTGCCCATGTTTCATATTTTTGGATTCGCGGTTATACTATATGCTCAATTACAGGAAGGGAATACGGTTGTATCAATGGGAAAGTTTAGTTTTGAAGGGGTTTTAAAGAACATCCAGAGATATAGAGTTACACATTTATGGGCTGTTCCACCAGTTATACTTGCTTTAACTAAACAAGATGTAGTCAAGAAGTTTGACTTGTCGTCATTGAAGCTAATCATTTCGGGTGCTGCACCATTGGGGAAAGAACTGATAGACGAGTGTGCCAAAAAGTTCCCACATGTTTTGGTTCTTCAGGTAAACTTCAATTGCATTTGAGATAATAAATTGAATACGAAGTTACAGATATGGTCCCTGTTCTTTCTATTCTTATCATGTTTAGAAAAAAATTAATTCCTTCTTGTAAGTTTCTCTAAATTTAATTGTCTTTTTTATAGTTTTTGTAGCTTTCAGTGAAGTTCTAATTACAACATTCCATGCAACAGGGATATGGTATGACTGAAACGACAGCATCCACCTCACTCGGCAGTCCAATTATGGGCCATCAGCACTCTGGTTCAACTGGGACGCTTTTACCAGGAATCGAAGCTCAAATAGTTTGTGTAGATACCAATAAACCTCTTCCTCCAAATCAAACTGGTGAAATATGGGTTCGAGGAGCTTGCATGATGCGAGGCTATCTCAATAAACCTGACGCCACGAAGCTTACGATAGATAAAAATGGTTTCGTACATACTGGTGATCTTGGATATTTTGATGATGAAGGTCAATTATTCGTGGTTGATAGACTTAAGGAACTCATTAAGTATAAAGGGTTTCAGGTAAAACATGTTTTGATCATGCATATCTTGTAAAGATCCTGTTTTGATAGATTCTTTATAATATTTTCTTGCATGCATGGCCAAAATAGTCTTTAATCTTTACGTGCATGCTCAGGTTGCACCAGCAGAGCTTGAAGCACTTTTGCTTTCACATTCTGAAATACTAGATGCTGCAGTAATCCCGTAAGTCAAAAAGGCAATATTTCATGAATCTTGATATTCATTTAGGGCATATATGATTGTATGAACACTTTATCGTCTTTATTAGGTTTCCAGATGCTGAAGCTGGTGAAATCCCGATTGCGTTTGTGGTGCAGTCATCAAACAGCTGTTTGTCAGAAGAAGATGTCAAGAGATTCATCAATGAGCAGGTAAAGATTTGTATTTCACGTGGGGTTTTTCAAGAAAAGATAATACTCATTGGAATATAATTGATAGGTTGCACCTTATAAACGGTTGAGGCGAGTGATATTTGTGAACAACATTCTCAAATCGGCTTCCGGGAAATTACTCAGGCGTTTACTTGTTGAACACGTTCGATCCAGGATGTAACAGATTTCATATATATGAATTTGGAAGTTCTTGTGATATTGTTTTCAATTTAAAACAAACTGTTGATGTGGTGTAAAAAGAAAACTAGTACTAAAATTTTATTTAGATATTGTCGAAATGAATCGTTAATAAAACATATTGGATTAAAAATTCTACCTACTCAATCACTTTTTAAAAGTTTTATGTAATAGACAAAGGGTGCTACTATATGTAGTTATGTATTTCCATAGATAGTCAAATAATGGGAATATATTCTACTCATATATAAAGCAATTAGGGGCACATATAAAATTAACTTAAACAAAGCCTTACCAAGCAAGACCGGTTTAGACAACATTGATAGCATTTATAGTTGTGTGCTATTTACCAATAATTGAGATTTAAAGTCAAGCTTAAAATCAATTAGGGGCACATATAAAATTAACTTAGACAAAACCTTACCAAGCAAGACCGGTTTGGACAACATTGATAGCTTTTATAGTTGTGTGCTATTTGCCAATAATTGAGATTTAAAGTCAAGCTTAAAATTAAATAATCCAACACTTTTACCCATTCTCCAAAACACCAATTAACTATAATTTTTCAATCCAAAACCAAACTTTATTTCATTTAACAAAATACCATCAAATCCAAAAATTGAATTTTCGAACTTATATGATATATAATTAGCATTAATTTCTTATTTCATTTGCAACTTTTTAAGAGTTTTATCTATCCCTTAAATTTGATATGTTTAGTAAGAGATCGTTTGGAACATGAGATTGGACAGAACAAAACAAAACTCTTTTGGATATCATTTGGCATGGATGAAAATGGGACAAGATTATACTTTGACTAAGTGAAATGAGACTATTTTGTTGGATTTTAATCTCATATAAAATGGTGGAACAAAGTGGAACGAACCATATTAAAAAAAACATTGTCTACACTCTTGCCATCTCATTAACGTCTGTCATCTCCATTGTTTTTTTTAATCCAAACATTACTATGAATTTTCAATACACTTTTCTTCCATTTATTTTATTTTCCCCAACCATGTCTTTTTTTATTTTATTTTTTATTTTTTTTGTGTGTGTGTTCCAAAACCACATTCGTCTCACCTTTTATAATGACGATAGCAATCCCATCTAATTACCATCCATTTTCATTGTTGTGCTAAATAACCAAGTTTACCTTTCTTATTCTCAACTTGTTCCACACTTTTTTTTTTGTCGTTAACACCATTACTGCAATTAAGTTTCTTCAACTTCACCTATTGCCTATTATCTTTTTTCTTTTTAGACAATATCTAACAACAACCAACATAGAAAATATAATTTTTATAAACTTTGTTTTGTTATAATTCCATCGATTTTCCATTTAGTTTTTTTCTAACTTTATAAATCAAATATTATAAATCATGCACTTGAAATCTTTATGAAGATACGTGAATAATTTAATGGATCAATATTGTGTGTTTATAAATTGCGATGTTGACACACACCAACACACACACACA